ACTAGAGCCTTAGCGAACAGCAGAATTTAATGAGGTGCATATGTCGACATTCAGATTTTGTTATGATAGAAACAGTTATCTTATTTGCGTGGGGATGATTTATTATCCTGCCTATAAAAGCGAAACGCCACAAAACGATAAAGAAAATGTGCTTCACCTTCATCTTCATCTTCATGTTTACCTTCAGCATGTTTATCTTTATCTTTATCTTCATCATCTTCATCATTATCTTTATCTTCATCATCTTCATCATCATCTTTATCTGCCTCATCTCGCGCTCACTGTATATTCATTCCAAACGGAATGAATGTTGTTCTTTTTCTAATCACTGAACAGTCACTGAACTGAATCCACAAAACACCGCCACGCCAATGAAGGTATTGTCTGATGCAATGAAAAAGCATTTTTTTCAGCATCACATTCCACATTCCCCTTTGTTTCTCTAATCAAGAAGAAATTGTACGATTCACTATCCCGGATCTATATTTTTCTCTTTCTGTTATCGTTATAGGCTTTTGTCATCTACTGTATACTAGTGCCTTAGCGTAGAACAAAATTTAATGCGGTGCATATATCGACATTCAGACGGCACAGAAAGATGTAGAAAATGCGGGTCATTGCTAGCTTTAGCTTCGTCATCTTCATGTTTGTCTGTCTCATCTCGTGCTCACTGTTTATTCATTTTAACCTGTAATGTTCTTTTCTTTCTAAGCACTGAACTGAATCCACTGAAAACCACCACGCTTAGGAAGGTATTACAATGTAACATGACGGTATGTTAAATTTGTATTGTTGTGTGCGAATTAAAAAGATATGCAATATACTAAGGCTCTATTACATGTAATAAGAGCGAAATTCATTGCTTTTCTTTATTCTATACTTTTCGTTTAGTCATTTAAGAAAGAGAGATAAGAATACTTTATATATATTCTACTCAGATGTGGCACACTATAAATATGAGCGACGTTGACCTACCGATTTCCTGGGAAACTACTGAGTATTTCGGATCTTAGACTACCAGTTACATTTTGTTAAGACTATCTTATACATCATTTTGAAGTTAGAGAACTTCTCTCTCAAATGATGTGTAAAGTAGAGTGGTTAACGAGAAAATTAGTCACCGTTATAAATATGAACGACGTTAACCTACCGGTTTCCTGGGATTCTACCGAGTATTCCGGATCTTAGAGCACCCAGTTACATTATCTTAAGGCTATCCCATATATCATTTTGTAACTCGTAAAATGTTCTATCTAACGGTGTCTAACAGTTGATGTTTGCTCTTGATGAAACAGGTTGAATAATGTAAATGCTTTGAGAAAACGTCGCTTAACGCGGGAAGAGCTTTTTTGCTACAAGGTTTCCAGGGGCACTGAGAAGGATTTTCAGAAGAAACAGAAAAAAAACGGTTACGGGACATTTCTTTGTATTTGCTATCTTTCTCCCTCATAAAGCAATCTTAGTCTTTGCTATTTATACAGGATCATTGTGTGAGTAGACAACACTTATGGTAAAATAAGAAACTTTCTATCAAGCCCGGTTGAGGCGTGGCATAGTGGGTGGTTACGGGACAAATTGTCAGTCAAACCTCACATAACTTCAGTAAAGTGGGAATTACTTGGTAGTGAAAAGTGATAGAAACGTCGGATTTTCGCTGTTGTCTATTCTATATATTTAGTCAACTT